AGTGTCTCATTGAGTTGCTTAGCGCCTCACCATTGCTGAGGCTGGTTTTGAACTCAAAATCCACTGGTCTCAGCCTCCGGAGCCGCTGGGATTACAGGCATGCTCCATTGCATCTGGCTTGGTGGAAGTTTTTTCAATGAATTCTTTTTTTTTAAATATATTTATTTATTTATTTATTTTTTAGTTTTCGGCGGACACAACATCTTTGTTTGTATGTGGTGCTGAGGATCAAACCCAGGCCGCACACGTGCCAGGCGAGCACGCTACCGCTTGAGCCACATCCCCAGCCCTATTTTTTTTATACGTTTTTTTTTTTTTTAATATTTACTTTTTAGTTTTTGCGGACACAACATCTTTGTTTGTATGTGGTGCTGAGGATCGAACCCGGGGCGCACGCATGCCAGGCGAGCGCGCTACCGCTTGAGCCACATCCCCAGCCCTTCAATGAATTCTGCACGGAGCCTCACACAGCCCTGTGGTAGGCTCCCTGAAGATTGATACTTCAGGGCTGCGGTTGTAGCTCAGTGGTAGAGCACTTGCCTAGCGAGGCCCTTGGTTTGATCCTCAGCCCAATGAAAGGAAAAGTAAATAAATAAATAAAGGCATGTGTCCAACTACACCTAAAAAAAAAAAATAATTGATATTTCACAGCTAGGGAAACTGAGGCTCAGAAAGGTCAGAGAGCTTGGCCAAGGTCAAGAGTTGGAACATGAGACCTGCTACCATTTATCCATCCTGGTTCCTTTGTCTGTGTCTGCATCATGGGTCTTAAGGCTCACTTCACTGTTGCCTTGTGTCTTTCATGCTCAGCTCAGGCTCTGAAAAGATAGGAACTGTCCCTACACCTTTGATTTCCTGTTGGACCTAGCACTGTGTTACTTAAGAGCCATTTACTAAGCTCCTACTTTTTTTTTTTTTTTTTTTGGGGGGAGGTGCTGGGAATTGAACCCAGGGCCTTGTGCAGGCTAGGCGTGCACTCTACCAACTGTAAGCTCCTACCCTGTACAGGACACTTTCCTTTCTTTTTTTTTTTCTTTTTTTTTTTTTTTTAGAGAGAGAGAGAGAGAGAGAGAGAGAGAATTTTTTAATATTTATTTTTTACTTTTCTGTGGACACAACATCTTTGTTTGTATGTGGTGCTGAGGATCGAACCCAGGCCACACGCATGCCAGGTGAGCACGCTACCACTTGAGCCACATCCCCAACCCCAACACTTTCCTTTCATTGGGCAGGTACATGTGTGGTGTGTGATGAGTGAGTGGCATTTCCTCTGGGTCCTGACAGGTAAGGGGTCACCACTAGATCTCCTCAAAGGTATGGGTGGGGTGCCTAGCCCAGTGCACAGTATGCCTTCAGTAAATGTTGAAAAAGTTTAGGGCACCAAATTTAGCCACCAAATATACCTTTCAGTGATATTTAGGAAGCTTTTCTACGTGCCAGGTCCTGTGCAGGACTCTGCAGGGGGAGTGACAGGGCAATGTCCCTAAGTCTTTTTCCTTGGGGAACTCTCAGTCTAAAAGGGTAAACCATCCTCCTGCCAAGCAGCCATGTTCTGAGCACACAGGAAGGATGAATGCTCACAGCAAGGACCCCTGGAGAGAGAAAGCCCTGGGAGACAGCAGGAAGGGTGGGCATTCCTCACATGTCTGTGAAGCTAGCTCTGATGAAGGGGCCCAGGGACTCTGAGAAAACAGTTCAGAGGCCAGCCCTCTTGGGTGTCCCCCACCTTGCCAGTTATCTGATGCCCAGGGAGTCAATGGGTCTGAGAATGCACTTTGGAATCAGACATGAGACCCACTGAGATTATAATCTGCACCATGCCTCCTAATGGTGTATAAAACCATGGCTACCTTAATTTCTTTCTGCCTCAGTTTCCACTTCTGTGAAATGGGAATAATAATAGGCCCCATCTTCAGGGCTATTGGGAATATAATGAAAAAGTCCAACAGAGAGAAAGAATTGGTCTGGCTGAGGATGAGGGGATTCTGGTTGGGTCAGCACTACTGAGTTCTTTCTTTACTCTTATTGGTTTTATAGGAACCAAACAGACAAATTTAGGGGTTTTCTGGTAGCTAAGGAGACACCAGATGGGTTCTGGAGTTGGCCAAGCCATGGGCCAGGTCTAACATATAGCAGTGGTTACTAATCTGTATTGAGTGTACCTCAGTTTTCACAACTGCCTCAGAAGGAGGTATTATATTATTTGTCATCCAAATGCTGTATCCAGAGAGAGTGGGGATCCCAGGTCAGAGTTCTCCCTGGGAACAAGTACAGAAAAAAACAGACTTGGAGATATGCCCTCCAGGGTAAAGTCCCTTTTTTCTTTCTATCCCTCTCTCTCTCTTTCCTTGTACTATTGGGAATTGAACCCAGGAGTGTTTTGTCACTGAGCTGCATAGTTTTTTTTTTTTTTTTTTTTTTATGTTGAGACAGGGTCTTGCTAAATTGCCTAGGATGGCCTCAAACTTGCAGTCCTCCTGCCTCAGCCTCCAAATAACTGGGATTACACTCACTCCTGGATGAAGTTTCTTGTAGCCAAGTCTCCCTCAGCTGGGGTTGTTGGCAGTTTATCCACATCCTTTCATAGTACCTAGCATCCTTCAGGCACTGATAAGCATCCTCAACGCTGTCAGCAATTGAACTCAGGGCTCTTGCATGCTAAGCATGCATTCTGCCTCTGAGTTAAACCCTCAGCCCCTCAATAAACATTTTAAAAAAAAAAAACATTTATTTTTTAGTTGTAGGTGGACACAGTACCTTTATTTTATTTTTATGTAGTGCTGAGGATCAAACTCAGTGCTTCGCACATGCTAGACGAGTGCTCTACCTCTGAGCCACAACCCTAGCCCTCAATAAACATTTTTTAAAAAAAATATTTTAGTTGCAGATGGACACAATACCCTTTTTTCTATTTATTTATTTTTATGTGGTGCTGAGGATTGAACCCCGTGCCTCACAAGTGCTAGGAAGGGCTCTACACTGAGCCACAACCCCAGCCCTTGATAAACATCTTTGCTATCAGATTTAAGATAGCCGGTTACTGTGTACCTTTTTCGGTGCACCTCGATTCCCGCGGGCTGTTGCCCTGCCTGGCTAAGATTCCATATTGTGTGACCAGGTGGGTTTAGGGCCGTTGTCCCGGCCGAACCGCAGAGGTTCCCGACGCCGGGAGGGGGCGCTCTGAGGCCCTCAGTTTAGGCCCCTCCCGACTAGTCCGCTGATCGCGAGTCGGCCCTTAACAGTAGTACCCCGGTTAGACGCTTTAGTTCCCAAAGCTGGCCTTCCCCTGGGTCCATCTGCCGGCTAATGTTTAACCCGGCCACACTCCACCTTATCCACACTTGGGAAACGCGGGGCGGAGGGAGGTCACCTCCAAATAGCTGCCTTACATCTATTGCTCCCGGTAAACGGGCTTTCTTAAATCCCTTTCATTTATCTACCAACAGGTCATCAGCACCTACTGCGTGCCCAAATAGGTAATAAGCACCTACCTAGTATGTTTCTTAGCACACATATGAGCATCTATTATGAATGCACCCAACCAGTTATGAACACCTACTATGTGTCCGTTTGTTCACCATGTCATGAGCACCTATGATGTGCCCACCTGCACACCAGGTCAGGAGCATGTGCCAAGCGCTATGCCTGGTGCTATGCCCAAGTGCTTCAGGCTCTGGCGGGCTACAGTGGCATCAAATGCACCAACGAAGGCAGAATTACAGCCAGGATGCTGAATCTAAAGTGTCTTTTCGACTTCTGGTCTATTCAGGGCCAATTGTGAAGCAGGGTTGGGCAGCAGCAGGAGGGCTGTTTTTGAACCACAATTTGTCACCAGACAAGACAGTGGCAATAAGATACTGGGCGGGGGCTCAGGATTAGCCCAAACAAAACACTCAAGAACACAAGTCTGAGGTTCAACGTGAGGGGACAGAAAACTGCTTAGTGGCTGGGCGCAGGCTTTCTCACTCGCGTGTGTCCACTCATGGTACTTACTAATAGAGAGGTCCAGGCGGGATCGAGGACCTCGCAGCGTTCAGAGGCTGGGGACCTAGGTTGTCCCAATTGCTGTCACCAAGACAGTGGAAGCCCGGATTGTTCTGATCCGGGCCTTGTCCTTATTCCACCGTGAAGTAAACTGAGGCCAAGGGGAAGGCAGGGACCCTCCACGTCGCGTGGGCGCGACGGGCCGAGCAAAGCCTCGAACCCGGTTTGCGTCGTTTGGAATCGGGAGCGGCCTTTGCTTGTGCGTTCCTGGAACTGGGCTGGGCGGAGAAATCAGGGCCTGTGGAGAGGCCTGCCGCCTTCCCAGCTGCCCGAGGCCGCGGGGGGCCTGGCCAAGGTGACCCCGCAGGAGGCGGCAAGGGTCCCCGCCCCCTCGGCCGCTGAGATCTTCTCCATCTTCCCGGTCTTCGGGGCTTTTCCTCTGGGCCCACGCGCCCGCCCCACTCCCGGGCTTCCCCGAGGGCGGGATATCTCGGTCTCTCCCGCCCCCCCCCCC